TCTTAGCCAGACGGGGATGGAAAAACATGAATACAGACCTAAACATCACTGTTGTTTCATTCCATCAGTTTCTCCCTTTCCCCACCTCCCCTCTGCTCCTCCCCTCTGTCTCCCCTCCTCTGTCTCCCTTCCACTTGCCTTCAGCAGAAGTCTATGGAATGGGTAGTCAAAATACACAGGAATCCAACAGCATCTTCTGATGTTAACACCACACACCGGTTAGGGGGACGCTCTGTTGTCTGTTGGCTTTGTTCACTACTCTAACCCCAGTGCTATAGCACTACTTGCCATGGAAAGGCACTCAATAAATATTTGTTGAAAGAAGTGATTGATCAGTTAGATAATTGGGTACATAGAAAGTAGGAGGGAGTTATAGGAAGGCTAGTTCATCTTAGGATGATGCTTTCTAACAATTAGAGACATTCGGATTTGGAAGGCAGCCTGGTATAATAGAAATACCTCTGAACTTGGAATGAAAGAAATTAGCCACTTACTAATTCTGACTGTGGGCAAGTTACTTAACCCTCTCAGTCTTCACCTTCTTATCTATTAATTGAAGATCATCTTTGTTCTGTCTAATTTACAGGGTTGTTGTGAGAATGAGATAAAATAATCTAAGTAAAAGAGCATAATAGAAAATGCCATTTAATATGTTTTTTATTATCAGAGTAAACTAGTTAACTCCCAGTCTAGCTGGTGCCTGACACATTTTCTGTAGTAACTTGTGGAGAGTCTTTTCTCAGGTGGAAATTTGAACTAAATGACTCGAGTCTCTTCCAATTTACATAAACAGTGATTATGACGTATACATCTTCTACTTAACTCTTTCTGGAAATTGTATTTTCAAGTTTGGAATATAATGTTGCCTGACTTAAAATACCGAAGTATTGGGTAAAAATTATGTAGATCGACATGCAAGAAATACCAAGAAGCTTATTTTGTTTAATAGTGGACAAAGACCTTCACCTAAAATCTTCTGTGTCTAATTCTCTAGGAAGGGAGGTGACCCAAATGTCTGATTCTCCCCAGAATTTATGAACTCTCTCTATATCAGCTCCGCAGCCATGTTTACCAAGCCGCAAGAAGAAAGGAGATCCCTTTAGCGAAAATGTCAGTGATTGGGTTTTAAGGAATTTCAAATTACCAGGAAGGTCCCAGACACTTAGTGACTCCCTAGTGATTTGAAAGTCTTGCTGGCTGCTGGCAGTAGTTTGCATGGAGACTGAATTTTATCTCCGCTCTTTTGAAAACGTAAAGAAGCTACAAATCCAGCGGCTGTTGAAAACAACAAAGCAGGGTTGAGGTGCCTTTGGCTTCTAACAGGAGTGTCTCTGAATTCCTCAAGGAATTCCAGGCCTAGAGTTGATCCAGCTGGCAGGAGGTATCGATCTCCACTTGAATTCACTGAATAAATAATGGTTGCCATAGTTATTGAGCAGTCACAACTGGTTGGAGAGCAGGGAAAACTCCACGGCACCTTCTGTGAGTTTGGCCCTGAGAAAGTCTGGTTACAAGGTTCTGCAGTCAGCCCCCTCCCCAGATCCAGCCAACACACTGTTCACTTTATCCTAATAATGAATATGAAGTCTCAATTATTATGTAAGATATGAGACACTGAAAGGAAGGGAAAGCTTGGATCAATGGCTTGGTATTCTGTTCTGAGAAAAGCGTTTCTCCCTAGGTTATAACTCTAATTGATACATCTCAGTATTAATAAATTTAGTATTACCACATTGATATTTGGTCATGTGAAACTAGTAGAGGGCTCCACAAAGGACCCACTCTACCTTGTACTATTTTCACCTCATTATACAAACAGCACTAACCTGGAAGTTTTAAAAGAAAGGACAAAAGTTATCCAACAAGCCCTTAAGTATTTTCACTTTTTGTTTCCTTTAACCCTTCTTGAGATGCAGAAATAATTTTTGAATAGATGTAATCACATCTCAGATATGATTTAATATTCTCCTCCTCATTTAATGTTGTAAATATTTTCCATGTTGTTTCACAGCCTTTATTATTTGTCCTTTTTGATATATTATAACCTTCCACTATATAGATGTACCATCACTTACTTAAATGTTGCCCTCGTCTTCAACTCTTTATCTTTTTCCAATTTTCGTTTGTTTGTTTTTGTTTTGAGTGGGATTTGGGGGGGAGGGGAAGTAATATACCAAATGTCTCCATGCGTACAGTTTTATTCTTCTGTTAAATTTTTCCTTTGGATAAATTCCCAAGAGTGGGATTACTTGTCAGAGGCTATGAATGTTTTATAGCTCTTGAAATTTACTGCCAAATTTGCAGCCTGCTTTTTGCTTTTGGAGGAAAAATAAAACTTTAGGTGGAACACCAGCGCAGGCAGAATTTCTCTTAAAGTTCACTCTTGGGTGCGTCTTCTGAGACTAAAGCACAGGGACTATGTATTTAGTAAAGATAAGCCCTAGGAGACAGGTTTGCACCTGGGCTGATGAGCTAATAGTTTCCTGGGGAAAGCAAAAACATACACTGCAAAGCCTGGGAATTAGGAGCCTTTCCTGCCTTTTGTTAGACATGGTAGTTACCAACCACTACCAAGTATCAGGCATTGTCCTCGGCCTGACCATCCCATGAGTACTGTGCAGTTGGCAGAACATTTTTCCATAACATCGTCTTGGTTTAGCCTTGCAACGTCCCATGGAAGTGGGTTTTATTATAATCATGCTTTTTATATTAATTTGTTGTATAATATTGAAGATAGGAAGAATACAACAAAGAAGTGTGTATCTGCCCCTGCAGTAATCCCCATTTTCCTATGAAAACACTGAACCTTAGAGTTATTAGAGTACCTGGCTAGTAAGTGACAGAACCAGAACTGGAACTCAGGTCGAACTCCAAGTCCAGTGCCCTTTTCCCTAAAGACTGTTAACATTGGGATGAGACATCTGCAAGTTGCAATCCACTGAGATGCTGCTGGCAATTTTCATGGTTGTACTATAATATAATTATAACACATCTGAGCCAAATGGGACCTTAGAGTTCATTAGATCCAACATCCTCTTTTACAGAGCCCTAGAGAGAACTTGCTGAAGTTCTTATACAGTAAGCTGAACTAAGGACAATATAGATTTCCTGGATCCCAGGCCTCTTTTATTTGGGACAAGAAAAGAGAAAAATGTCTAGATAATTTTTTTGCTTCCTTGATTGTCTTTTGCTTCAAGGAAATAATTTTTCTAACAAAAATATCCCCATCTAAAAAGAATAAATTTAATAAAAATTAGAAACAAATGCTTGATTTCTCATTAGAAGGACGTCTTCTATCTCTTGAGTGTCATGATTTTGCAAGTAAATGTACTGAGAGGGAAAAAGTTTGAAATAACCCAGGCCAACCTTTTCCCTTAGAAAAGAAGGTTGAATGTCTAAATGCTGAGGAAAAGCAAAGTGATCCGTATGGGAGGTCAGGATCCTTTCTCCTTATGGGGAGATGCAGCATTGCTCTGAAACAAGAGGCCAGAATCTGCCTCAGACGATTGGATTCAATTCCAGCTCTATTTTGGAGACAAAGTCTCACTCTGTTGCCCAGACTATAGCGTAGTACTATAGTCATAGGTCCCTGCAAACTTGAACTCCCAGGTTTAAGTGATCTTCCCTCCTCAGCCTCCAGAGTAGCTAGGATAATAGGCATGTGGCACTATGCCTGGCTAATTTTTAATTGTTTTTATAGAGATGGGGTCTCTCTATGTTGCCCAGGACGGTCTTGAACTCCTGGCCTTAAGCAATGCCTCCTGCCTTGGTCTCCCAAAGTGCTGGGATTATAGACATGAGGCACTGCACCAGCCCAAATACCAGCTTTTAGCAGCTATGTGAGTTTGGAAAAAATCATTTATCCTTATACATAAAATAGATTATAATATTGAACATGGGGATCATTTTATATATTGTGTTATAAAATATAAGCTACTGGTATTCATTCCTTCGTATGTTATAAAATGCCTGCTCCACATCTTCTGGGCCTCCTCCCCTTCTCTTTGGCTTTTCCATCTCCACAGCAGGAGGATGTGGAGTTTGTACAGAGTGCCAGGTGTAGTCAATAGGTGTTTCAAAGGGGGGGAAACAAGGAAAAGAAAAGCTGGATTCGTCTCAATGCTGGTTAGCTTGAAAACACAAGAATGCACTTTATATTGGGTCTTGCTGGGCAGCCCTTGCATTAGCGAACAGAACTTCCAGCCTCCCCATCTCCCTCAAGTGAGTCTATCAAGACAGGAACCTTAATTCAGTTGCTTGGATGTGTTTCCATGTCATTTTGAAAATGAGTTGCCTTCTGAAAGGGCTTAGTGAGGGCTTAGTAGGATAATGGGCACAAAATAATAACCACCCTACCATTCATTCAGTGCAGCTAGGTGCCAGGAACTGTGCTTTCACTTGTGTTATCTGCCTAAGTTGGCTCTCCCAGAAACCCTGAACAAGGTATGATCATTCTCTTCATCTCAAAGGAAATTGGGGCTCAGAGGTTAAGAGACTTACTCAGGAGCACATAGCAAGTAAGTGGCAGAACTAGGATCTAAACCCTGGTGTTGTTTGATAGCAGCAGCCATGAACTACCTCTAAGAGGGAGAGCACTTTGTTGTTGCTGTTTTGAGACGGAGTCTCACCTTGTCACTCTTGGTAGGGTGCCATGCATCATAGCTCACAGCAACCTCTGTGGGCTCAAGTAATTCTCTTGCCTCAGCCTCCTGACTAGCTGAGACTACAGGCGCCTACCACAACATCCAGCTAGTTTTAGAGATAGGGTATCACTCTGGCTGAGGCTGGTCTTGAACTCCAGGCCTCAAGCAATCCACCCACCTCAGCCTCCCAGAGTGGTAGGATTACAAGTGTGAGCCACTGCACCCAGTCTGGGGAGGGTACTTTGATTGTAAGAAGCCATCCCAACTGGCAGAACAAGACATAAACCTCAACTAGGGGTTCGAAGTGTCTTGAAGTTTGTATGCCTCCTAAGCTCGCCCTTTTCTATCCCTCTGCAGAACGACATGGGTTAAAAGAACCAAAGAGAGTGGAGGAGCTATGCAACAAGATCACAAGCAGCTTAAAAGACCATCAGAATAAAGGACAAGCTCTGGAGCCCACCGAGCCCAAGGTCCTGGGTGCCCTGGTGGAACTGAGGAAGATCTGCACCCTGGGCCTCCAGCGCATCTTCTACCTGAAGCTGGAAGACTTGGTGTCTCCACCTTCCATCATTGACAAGCTCTTCCTAGACACCCTACCCTTCTAACCAGGAGCGGTCCAGACAGGGAGCCCCTCATCTGCTAGCACCTGCTTGCCAAGCAGCTAAGGAGGGGTCTGGACACCTAGCATTTCCTGTCCTTCCTTAAGAGAAAAAGCAGCTCCTGTAGAAAATGAAGACTTTTTTTTCTGGCTCTTTTCCTTACAACCTAAAGCCAGAAATCTTTGCGGAGTATTGTGTTGGGGTTGTGTTTTATATTTAGCTTCTGGGGGTGTGGGGTGGTAGGAAGGTATAGTTCGTGAGGGTTTTCTAATTGCTAACAAAGCACTTTTGGACAATGCTATCCCAGCAGGAAAAAAAAAAAGGATAATTTAACTGTTTTAAAAGTCTTTCTGGGGAATACAATTATAGTTGCTTTGTACTTAAAAACAAGAACAGCCAAGGGTTGTTCGCCAGGGTGGGATGTGTCTTAAGATTGATCCCCTTAAAATATGCTTCCTGTATCAAAGGTACATATGTGGTGCAAACAAGGCAGAAATTCCCTTTTCTTAATTTCTCTCTTCCTTTATTTTAATAAATGGCAAAAGATGGAGGATTACCTACAAATCAGACATAGCAAAACAATAATGGCCGTTCGCTTCCATATACAAGTGCAATTTTTAAAAGTGTTGTCTTAGTCTTGTTTATTAACTCCTTTATTTTATATGGAAATAAAAAGGAGGCAGTCATGTTAGCATACGGACACATGCTAATTTTCCTAGCAGAAGCTTGGGTCACCTGCCCTGTACAACCCTTCTGAGCTATGGCCTCTCCAAGACTTTTAGGCCATTCTTGATGGAACCAGATCCCTGCCTTGACTGTCCAGCTGTCCTGAAGGGGAATCAGATTAATAAATGGATTAAATATAACCGTTTTGGTTGTATTCTATCAACCCCACCAAGAGTCCCCTAAACTTGCTTCAGTTGTAGCAAATGACTGATAAATTCTTTCAGAAGCCCCAGGAATGTTTGGTAAGTCAGTCAAGTATTTGATTCCGAGATGAGAACATGCAAATACATAGGAACTGGGTCGTACAGGGTAAGCACCAGGGATAGTAAGGATTTTTCTATATATAATTTTAATTTTTGTTATTGGTTAAAGAGACAATTCTGGAAAGCAAGTCTTTTAAAAAATAGTATGGATGTGAGTACTAGAAAGGATTAGTGGGCTGCGTTTCAACATTCCGTGTTCGTACTCCCTTTTGTATGTTTATACCGTTGATGCCATAATATGATGAGATGATTTGTTGCATAGTGTCCTTATTTGTATAAACATTTGTATGCACGTTATATTGTAATAGCTTTGCCTGTATTTATTGCAAGACCACCAGCTCCTGGAAGCTGAATTACAGAGTAATTAAATGGGGTGTTCACAGTGACTTGGGTACACCAATTAGAAATTAAACATATATATATATAAATATAGCAGGTTACATATATATTTATAAGGTGTCTTTTTATTAACCATTTGTACAATAAATGTCACTTCCCATGCCGTTATTTTATGGTTCATTTGCAGTGACTTTTAAGGCAGTACTGTTTAGCACTTTGATATTAAAATTTTGCTTATGTTTTGCTAAATTCGAATAATGTTTGAAGATTTTTAGGTCTAAAAGTCTTTATATTATATACTCTGTATCAAGTCAAAATATCTTTGGACATTTTGCTAAGAAACAAACTTTGAATGTCAAACTGATGCCACAGTAGTTTTTGTTAGCTTTAAATCATTTTTGCTTTAGTCTTTTTAAAGGAAAAATAACAAAATATGCTGTTTATATTGTCATTAAATTATACAATCAAACAAATGCCAAATGAATTGCCTAATTGCTGCAAAGTATAATCCAGATAGGAAATCATATACTTTTTTCTCCAGGAGTCATTCTGATATTTGATCATGTATTATGTTTGTGTGAGCTTTTATGAAAGATGATTATTTTTGTATCAAGATGATAGGACCTGGAATGTTAGGATTTTGAAATGTTAGACTTGGAAGGGGCCTGACTTGTCAAGTATTCAGACCTCTTGAAATTCATAAAGAAGAAAAGTAGGACCTATTGAAGGGTAAGGAGTTCCTCAAGGTGAAACAGCTAGTAACAGAATCAAGACTAAGACCTAATTCACCTTTCCATAGTCTTTTTTTTCCCTCAACTTACTGCACCTGTAGGAAATCAGGCTTTTAACCATAACCACTAATATTTACATTTTACCCGAAGATAACCATGAGTAAAGTAGTATTCGTGCATTAATTTTTTGAGCTTATATGCAAACATAATAAACATTATTAAATATCAGGAAAGCTAACATTTCATGCAAGATAGCTTCAGACCAAATTCAAATTGAATTTGAATAAATTAGAGATACTACGCATACATAACCTTCTTGTGCACCATTAGTATTTGGAAAGTTAATCTTTGTTTTTGTCATGTCTGTAAAGGAAGAGTAAAAACAAAACAAAGCAGAGCCCTAGAGAAATGCTGTTACTTTTCATTTTTACATTCCTAAGAGTTAAGGAAAAGACTTCTTAGCCATCACATCTATTGGTTGGAAGGAATGAAGAAGCTTTTTTAGTGACAGATCCAGACACTAGTCCTGAAAAGAAAGATTATAGTATGTTCTTCTGTCTTCCATAGTTATTACAACTATGAGAGCCTCCCAAGTCATCTATCAATTCAACTCTCGTTTTTTGTCTTAAATGTTGCACATAAGTTTATACCGAGTGGATGACCACACTAGTTCAGAAGAGGACAACAAGTATATTAAAGCAGGTAATTCTTCCCCTTGCGGGAGAGCTCTCTCAGTGTGAACATGCCTTCTGTGGGCAGAAATCAGGAATCCACCAGCTGTTAATGGAGAGTGCCTTGCTTTTATTTCAGACAGCAGAGTTTTCCCAAGTTTCTCTGCTCCTCTAACAGCATTGCTCTTTAGTGTGTGTTAACTTGTGGTTTGAAAGAAATGCTCTTGTACATTAACAATGTAAATTTAAATGATTAAATTAAATTACATTTTATCAATGGCTATTTGTGTGTTGAATAAGCATGCTTCATTTAACAATTTCCTTTTAATTATTATATAATAGTATTTGCTGTGAACAGCTTAAACACATCCCAAAATTGATTTTTTAAAGGCTTAGTAATACTGAAAAATTAATAGGCATTCTGAATTGGAAATATATTAAACCTCACCGATTGGAGAGAAGGACATTCTAAATTCAATAATCATTTATTGACTATTTCCTGGGGGCACAACGCTGCTGGGTGCTTTAAGGACGCAATCATGCACATTGTATGGAACTCCATTTTATTTCATCTGTATATAACTTAAATGAAGCTAATAATTTGGCTCCTGAAAGTATTCTTTAGCGGTATGAAGGATTCATTTTTATATCAAGATGATAGGATATTGTTTGGTTGTCAACCAAAATTTCCAAATGTCAGAGGTAGAGTTCTCGAAGATTGATCAGTGTTCTCTGCCTTTTTGTGTAAGCCATTACTACCACATTGCTGAGAAACCCCTTCTTCCCAGGTAATGCAAATGCACCTAGTACTCAAGTCACATTTGACTTCTGCAATTAGGAGATGTACAAGGTACAATACATAAAATAATAAATGTGACCAGTATCTTTTGAGTATCACAATTTTAATACATTTTTTTTTTCCTTTTCTTAAAATGGGTACACATTTTGGGGGCACCTTCTGTATATATAGGTGCTTGGCCAAAAAGAAAAGAATAAGAGGAGAGGATTAATGCCCTTCTCTAAGGATAATTGGTACTACCATCTGTTTTGAATGGGAGCTGGGAGTTCAGGTCTAAATAAGGGGCAGGGGCACTTGTATGTAGTTTAATATCTACAACTCTGTGCAATGAAAAGCAAAGATAAATACAAGAAGCTCATCATTTCACCATGGGCAGTATAGTGATAATTTTATATCTCTAAAAAAAAAAAATAAGAAAATCATTATTCTGGGCATGGTGGCACAGATGTAGTCCCAGCTGCTCAGGAGGCTGAGGTGAGAGGGTTGCTTAAGCCTAGGAACTGGCATCAGGCAGTGAGCCCTGATCGTGCCATGGCACTCCAGCCTGGGCAATAGACTGAAATCTTGTTTGTTGGTTTGTTGAAAGGGGGGGAGGAGAGATGGCTAATTGTTGACTTTTTAAATTGTGGTAAAATACACATAACATAAAATTCACCATCTTAACCATTTTTAAGTGTGCATGTCAGAAACATGGTGTGACACCAATCTCTAGAACTCCTTTCCATCTTATAAAACTGAAACTTCGTATCTGTTCAGCAACTTCCCATTCCCCCCTTTACCTGGCAACCATCATTCCACCTTATGTCTCTGTGAACTTGACTATTCACAAAAGTGAAATCACAGAGTATTTGTGTTTTGGTGACCGGCTTATTCCACTTAGCATAATGTTCTCAGGTCCATCCACGGCACAACATATGTTGGAATCTCCTTCCTTTTTAAGGCTGAAAACAGTCCCTCACATGTATATACTACATGTTTGTAATCCATCCAACCATCAGTGAACACTTGGGTTGCTTCCACCTCTTGCCTACTGTGAGTAATACTGCCATGAGCGTGGCTGTGCATTTATCTCTTTGAGACTCTGCTTTGCATTCTTTTGGCTAATTGTTGACTTTTCAGCTTAAGTATGATTTAAGCGATTTCCAAGGATAATCTTGATGATATGTGTTTTAGGGTTTTTGCCTTAGGCACTGATTTCAGAGCCTCCCCATTTCTTTCTCTTCTGGAGGCACCTGAGATTGCTCCATGAGCGAGGCTGTTTATAAACCTTTGTTCCAGAGCTGGGCTAAAGAGTGAAAGGATTAAAATCTAAGCGGCTTGAATGGCTCATCGCTCTCAACCAAACACTCTTCTTCCAGAAGGCTCATCTTTTGCCCAATCAGTTGAAAATCCTACCTTGTTTCAAAGAGGGCTTTTGCACCTCCTGTTAGGTAACATCCCTCACCATGAACAAAATTCTTCAAGAAATCCTTCAGAAAATTCTTCCTGGGAGCTGTACTTTGACTTTGACTAAGCAATGCTTTTATTTGTGTATTCTGTTTAGCTTGTGTTGCAAGCACACTGTCCTTCCTATTCTGTTCTTTTCTGTCTCTCTCAGACTCATTTCACGGCTTCATCAGTGAGCCGGGGGATCATCAGCCCCCTTCTCTCACTACTGGCTGTGATGCTGGCCATCCCAAATACTGAGCTTCTAAGGGTACTTGACTCAAGAGGAAAAGAAGAGAGATCTAACATTTATTAAGCATCTGTGATGTGTGCCAGATACTCTAGTAAACCCTTTCATCCATAATCTCACTTACTGTTTACTCTTTCTAAGAACACATGGATATGCCCAGTCTGAAAATGGGGAAAGAGATAGGGAAAGGATAAATCCCTAGCAGCAGGATGCCACGGCCAGTAAGGGGATTTGAACACAAGTCAATATGGTTCTACTACCTTCAATTGCCTTCATGAAGCTCCTTCCCAGAACACAGGGGTCATTTAACCTCAGTTCCTTGCTCATGAATTTGCTCGTATCTTATGTATGTATTCCTAAACAATTTATTGTTGCACTGGGAGTGGCTGGATGCATGGAAATTTCAACTTGGAAAGAGTCAAGGGTAGTATCATGAGAGGTAATACTTGAGAATAGCTTAAGCATATAGGCTTACTCTTGTAATATGTCTAATTCATATTGTAACTTCTATTATCTGGGGTCTCTTTTCCTTAGTATCTAGAAAGGATTATTTTGAACTCTCTGTTTCATAGACGCGTCCAAAGACCAACACAAAATACCTGTAAATTCTCTCAATTTTTACATGATCTTGCACTTCAGGCTCCTAATATTATCTGATTAGCTGTTAGTGATCTTGCTCTACTGCTAGTGTCATTTCTGCTTCTAGTGTTACTCTAGAACAGTGGTTCTCAACCTTCCTAATGCCGTGTGCCTTTAATACAGTTCCTGTGGGTCACGACCCACAGGTTGAGAACCGCTGCTCTAGAAGTATAACTCAGATCTTTCCCATAATTTTGACGCAAAAATCATGAATAGATAAGACTCTTCCAGATTTTAGGAATCTATCTTAAGTTACAGATTGTGACTTTTACCCTTATTCACCCATGTCCATCCTTCCTTCTGGAATGTGGATACC